GCTTGAAACGTATGTATATGTGGTTAAACGTGGGTTAAGACAAAGCAAGCACTGAAAACTGTTTTGATAGAACACAAGCCAATACAGGCGGGTTCATCATTTCACTAGTTTCGAATTTTTTAAAAAGCACATAAGGGAATTTTTTTAAAAGCACCCTTACGTGATTTTTTCGACCAAAAAAATTTTTTTCGAGTTTTTCGATCTTTTTTGAACAGACAGACAAACAATCCGAAATACGAAAAAAAAATGGAAAAAATTATATTGAGAGCTCAAAATTTGGCTCAAAAATACAGAATTTTTGACACCGGGCCTTCCGGGCCGGGCCCGGGCCTTGAAAATTTCCTGAGGCCCGGCCCGGGCCCGGGCTTTGGCGGACCGGCCCGGAATTTTACAAGTATGGGCCGCGCCAGTTTTGAATATCGTCGCTTAGAGGTGCATATGGGGTCCGAAATGCAAAATTCAGGGAAGGACGGTCACGATTAAACTTATTTTAGAGCTCTTATTCTGAAAATGTTCAATGTGGAAAAATAAAATTAGAATAGAGTAAAATTCACCGAGATAGCCGAAATAAATATCAACATTTTGTGAAAATTCAGCTTTTAACTCGTAACTTTCTAAATTTTTAGTGTGTTTCACGTATTGAACGAATAAAAACGTCTCATATTAATAGATTCAAAATAAGTATAATCAAGACCTATTTGATATTGAATTTAATTTTTCGGACCCTCTACGCGCCTTTAACATTGTAATAATCAAAAAAGGCGAAGCCCAGTCGTGTTTACACTCATTTTAAAGCTTTAAACTAAAAACAAATTTGAATAAATCAAAGATTTCGAAAATTTTCGAGGTTTTACTTCTTAAAAGAAATAATTTTCCAGGTCACGCTACAGCTCGACGTGAGTTTTACACAATCGTTGAGCAAATGGAAGCGATTATAAAGGAGTCACACAACCTCGAGAACCAATTTTTCATGACTCTAACTCCGTTTCGATTGTTTGCCGACTATCAGGGCGCCGCCATTTCTCATCGAAAATCAATTGCGAATTTCCAGACTTGTCTGGAAAAAATAGAAATGATGAAGGGACTAGGAGTTTTGAAAGGTCTTGACATTGAAGAACAACTGGAGCATTGTGGAATCGTGAATGCTCAAATTAAAACCTTCGGGCGAGTTTCAAGGCTTATGAACAACCATGCAATTTTCGCGGAACCTTCTAGTAATCTAGCTTACTCTATCAGAAGAGATTACGAAGAAAATCAAAAAAACGTTTGGAGGATTGTGGTACTGTTCGATGATTTGAGGGTGAAAGATCAAGAAAATCCGGGAAATGTGGTTCCTGCTGTAAATGCTGAACTTCCAATTCGCGCCTCTAATTCGGAATTTTCCAACGTTCCGAAAACTGGAATTCTGAGAAATTCGTCGGAAAACTCACACGAGAAAACTCACACAGGTAACGATTTTTCGGAGAATTCCAGAAAAAAAATCGGAAAATGTTCTTTTTCTGATTTTTTTTTCAAGAAAAAACTATTTTCACACACAAAGAAAACTACTATTTTTAGCTTTCAATTCTGCTGCACACAATTTGGACGCTGGACCATCGAGCCAACACGGCCGCGACGCCTCCAGAAGACGCCAAAAACGTTCAGTGACTTTTTTGTAAGTTTTCTCTTATTTGAAGTGATTTTTAAGGATTTCGATGGTTACCACTAAAATCTCACAATCTGAGGATTTCAAAAATCATGCTGATGTCTTCTTTTGAAAAAATTTCTGAAAAAATTTTTTCGTGGCCAGGCAAGAAAAATATTCATTTAAAAGCTGTGCTTGTAATTCATCAAACAATTGGAGTTTCAATTCAAAATACAAAGAATAGTTAACAAAAATAACCAAAACTCGAATTTTTAAAAAATATTTATTTGGTCGTCATTAGATTTTTTGGAAGATTTTGTTTTTATATATTTATAATTCCAAAATCATGACATTACAAGTTCTCAGAAAAACATGGATTTTCGTATAATCAGAAACGAATATATTCATGTTTAAACTTATCGTAAAAAACTCTATTAGATAGCCATGACACTCTATTGTTCGGGGTTGGCCAGGGGTGGCAATGTATTAGAAGGTGAAACGAATTTGAGGCTGGCCCTTTATTGTTTGGAGCCAATTTTCTCTCGATTTCCAACACACCTTATTTAAGCTTGAAAAAAAAGCTAGAAAACCAGAAAATGATTTTTATCATTCAACTTTTACCACAGTGACACCAACTCTGCAGTGCCATTATATTAGAGGCTGGCAATCTATTGTTCGGAGATGCTCTAGGATGGCACTATAGTAGAGACTGGCATTCAATTAGGGGTGGCTATCTAATATATTTTTCACGGTAATTTTAGATTGGAAATTGCTATTTTAAGTTTTAAGCTTTCTTCTTAACCAAATAACAACTTTTCAGGCTGACAACACGTGATTATCATTGAATGTTCAAGAGGCGGAGTCATGAAGAAATTTCAGAAGGATTAATTTTGTTGTTGTTTGTTGTTGTTTTTTTTAATTACTTTGTTGTTGTTTTTTTAATTACTTTTTTTTCTGAAACTCTAAAGTTGTCCTCACATTGAGAATGTCCCGTTAATTGTTTTTAATAAATGTTGTTTGTCTAATTTTCATATTTAACATTTCTTCAACGATCTTAATTTTGTTCTGCATCAAAGTTCTACTTACTGCAAAAAATTAAAGGTTTGAGCAATTTTTGAAACATCTCGCAAACAAGAGGAGATTGAGAAAAACATTCAAACTGAAAAATATCTGGAAAAAAAACGTTCTGAATTTTTGTATTTTGTAGTGTTTTGATAGTTCTAACGGTTTACGATTTATGCACCTTCAAATTTTGACTGAAGTTTGTGTTAGCATCAAATTTGAATAAAGCGTTATAATGTTCTAAAATTTGGAGTGCAGGCCGTTGAGAGAATTCATTTCGGTTCCTGCGAAAAAAATCAAAAAATAATCAACTGACGAAACGTTGTTTAACATTATGATAAGCATTTTGTCAGTTTATTACTTTTTATATCTAGCACAGGAAATAAGATATAATGGGTCAAAGTTGACAGTTTTGGGTATTCTTATAAAGTGTTAACGGTATCTTTTTCGGAGATTGGTTTTTTTTCTATGTTGAATTATAACTTTGGTTGAAAGACAAAATTTAAGCGGGTCTGAAACAGTCAATGCTCTGGCTATCGCAAGTTTTTGAGCATCAATTTACAATTTTCTAATGTATTGTTTTAATATCCTTTGCTCTATTTAGAAGTACCTGTGTCGTATGGAAATCCTAATATCTCCTCTCATAGGCGGTGCAGATACCTATTGGAACATACAACGTCACAAAGAGTCAGATACACCTTCTTTTGTACAAGACATACACACAGTCAGTCCCAGGCTTAAATATAGCGGGACACCACCAGTGTGCGCAACACGGGAGGCACTGACTGTAAAATCAATAAACTGCTGTAAAATCAATACTGTAAGATCAATAACGGGCACGTCTTCTCGCGCGTATCGCTCTAGACAAGAGATCACCCACCAGAAGACATTTTCTTGCCTATTCACTTTAAAGCGATGTTTGCGGTTCCGGCTAACCCACCCCGAGAACTGCTCTACTCTAAGGATTTTATCCAAAACGTCAAGGGATTTCTCCGATGCCTTCACAAATTGATGTCCCATCCGGTGAGTATTTGAACTTTTGAATAGGGATACGTGTTAGGCGTTGTGTTGCGCAATTGAAAAATTTTGGATTTTTAATTTGATCTGAAATTGAGCCATGCAAAGAATGCGATTATGAAAATAATGTGCATCTAGATCACGCAAAAGTAGTGGATCGAAATTTTTGACCAAGAAAAACCAAAAAATCTCATTCTCTTTTTAAAAATTGAATATTTGACGAAATTTCGTGTATTTTGCAACCAACCGGACAAAAATCTTTTTTCCAGTGATTGACCGGAAAAACAAAAAGAACTAATCATAATGATGCAATCTAAACACAATTACATAAATTTGCATTTTAGAGAGCGAAGCTTCCCGACAACTACTCTATCCTATACAGCTTGATATGCTATTACACAGCAATAGTCAATGCGCCAAATGTTCCATCAAGCAAGGTAATCTTCCAGCAGTAAACACTTTTCACCTTGATAATTGATTTTCAGGACAACATTCGATTGTTTAAAGAAGGCCTCAAGGTGTGCGCACACTACGAAAATATTGTTGCAAGAGCGATTCCAGGAGGGAAGACTGTTGCTGAGGCTCTGGCTGAGATTGCGGAGGAGCTACGCCGCAACAACAAATAGTTCATTTATCATAATACATAATTTTTCCTACTTTGTGAATTTTTTGCCTCCGTTTTTTACACACCTTTGGAATACCAAATTTTGATAGATAAACCCGATGATAAATATTTAAAGTTTTGAAATGAAAAATGGCTTCTAATGCAAAAATACCAAGAAAGAAACCTGTTAAGTCAGGAAAAGATCTTAATACTAAAAAACGCCGTAAAGACAAGTCAGCAAGATTGTGATACAATAGAAATAACATGACACGAACGAACAATATGGAAGCTGAAAAATCTGATTTCAAAGCAAAAAAAATAATTTTTGAATTTGAGATAATCAACTCTTAATGTTGATCTAGGTCAAATTTTTCAAATCTAAAAGACGGGTAGAATTGAGACCACGGGTAATTTGGTTGTTCCTTAGCAATAGTGATTGAGATATCAAAATAGATCGGTGAAAAGTTATAAATGAATGGGTACATAGATGGAAAGATGAAAATCCAATTTGGAAACAAAAAAATAATTGAACAACTAGAGAAAGGCAGTTTTGCTTGATATGTAGACGGAAAATGAGGATACCTATTAGCTCATAGAAAATCACGAAGAGTCACATACACCCTCCTTCATACCAGACGCACTCTTAGACAGTCCAATACTGGAATATAGTGGTGGCCCCAGCAGTGTGCGCAACACGGGACCTTCCCGACGGGGACTGTAAAATCAATAAGGGGCACGTTTTCGCGCGCATCTCGCTCTGGCCTATTGATCACCACGCAGAAGACACTTTCTCGTCAGTCGCGTCATGTTCGCTGTACCGAAAAATCCGCCCCAGGAGTTACTCTACTCCAAGGACTTCATACGTGACGTTAAGGGGCTTCTGCGATGCCTTCAAAAGCTGTTGTCCCACCCTGTGAGTATCTGAGTTTTGTTAAAATTGGGATATGTTTGAGGCGTTGCGATATCAGATATTACAGATGTTAGTAAAATTTGTAAATTTTTGAGTTTCGTATTTGAATTAATCTTACATTTATTCAAAAAACGTGATTTTGTGAGTTTTTCTCACACTTTTTAAATTAGACAGAAACGATGGCCAACAAAATGGAGAAATCGAAAATGCCTTTTGGGAAAAAAAGTGATTGTACTGGTTGAAGGATTCTAGGAATTTGGGCTCTAGTTATTTATTTTATATTCCAAATAAATTTTTGGATTTTAAAGTTTTTCGAGATCTTTAAAACCCAATTTTTTCTTTAAAATCCACAATTTTCTTTGAAATCCAAAACTTCAAATGTAACCAACTAAAGCCGGAAATTGACTGAGTATTTCAAAATTTCCGTTTCACTTGTCAAAAAGAGAATTGATCACAATTTTCATACGAAAAATATATAAATGAATTTGAATTTTAGAGAACCTCGCACCCGGAAAACTACTACTACGTCTACTCCCTCATCACGTACTACACAGCAATTGTTAATACGCCGAACGTGCCGTCTACAAAGGTAAACTTTTCAGCAGTGAACTTTTTAAAAAATCATTAATATCAATTTTCAGGAGAATGTGCAATTGCTGAATCAGGGACTAGTTGTGTGCAAATGTTTTGAGGACATTGTGGCACGAACGATTCCAGGAGGGAAGACGATCGTTGAGGCAATGGAGGATATTCAAGAAGAGCGACGACGCAGCGATCCATAGATAAATTTTTTCATAATATAGAAATTTCCCTCAGCTTTTTAGACTGTTCTGCCCTCCCCCTTTTTTTTGCATTTTTGAAAACCCAAATTTTATTGCAATTGATAAACCCTGTGATGATGTTCATTAGAAGTGTTGATAATAACAAAGGATTCGAACCTACGCGGGCAGAGTCCAATTGATTTCGAGTCAATCTCTTTAACCACTCGGACACAGCAAAAAGGGCTCGTAGAGAATACATGAACGGAAAAGAGGGGTAGATGAATCATGAGGAAACCGTATATAGAAAAGGAGGAAACATGAAAAAGTGACGAGGAACAGGAATAGGGAAGACATCTGGCGGTTAGTGGTCTTACAATTTTCAAATTCGATGACGCAATAAAATAAATAAGATTAGAAATTAATCAATAAAAATCAAAAAGTTATGAATCAACCAAACTACAGGATTACAGGATAAAATCCCACACACAAAATGAATTGAAACTACACAAAACGGCGATGAATACATATTAACTAAATAACTACATCAGTTATTTGAACATTTTGACTTTCTTCGCTGTGCCGAAATTCTTCAACATCTTGATAGAGGTCTTGTACTTTCCGTAAAAGGCGTCCTCCCAGTCTGGCACGCGGTATGACCACATGGCATACAGCTCACGAATCCGCTCCTCATTCGGACGTGTTATCAAGAAGTGCAGAAGTTTGTCGTGGTGCTGCAGTTGCTTCGACGGCTTTGGCTCCTTCTGCAGTTTCTGATTGAGCGCCTTCCTTTTGTGCTTGAGCATTTTTTGAACTTGGTCGTACATGTCTGGAAAATTTTAAGATTGAAATTCGAATTTATTCTCCTGTTTTTACCCCAGGTGTAAATGGAGTGGCAGTTTCTGCTGGCCTTTATGATGCCGTCGATGTTGGCATAGTGGTCGGCGAAGTACGTGCATTCTGCAACATATATTATATAGTTTATGTAGACGTTATTTTTCATTTGTATCAGAGATGTTTAGGACATGATTCGGGATTACGAAAACTCGGAAAATTCCAACCATTTTAGAAACGACCAAAATATTTTCTTTTTTTTGCGTTCTTTGAATTTGTTTTGTCAAATTTTCACGATTGTAACCTGTTTCAGATCCTGAATTAAATACAATTTTTTGGCTCTTTCCGGGAAGAACGGTCCCAAAACGGGACCGCCGGTCCCATCATCGGAATACCGGTCCCAAGAATTGCGGCAACGGTCCAATTGTTCCGATTACGGTCCCAATGTCCCGAGAACAATCCCAAAGGTACGACAACGGTCCCAGCCAAGCTTAATCTGGAAACCGTATTCCCGAAATATAAAAACAAAACGGAATGGTTTTCAAAAAATCCATTGGAAAACTTAACATTTTATTATACTTGTGAATTTCAGCACTTTCAGGAATTTTTCGCAAAATATTAGGTTTTTCGTATTGTAGGCTTAGGCCAAAACGCTTTTTTCTAGCACTGATGTGAACAAGGCGTATCTGCCTAACCCTTTAATTATAAACCAAATACACTCTGAAAAAATTCCAGTGAAAAAGTACTGGAATTCTCAATTATCAGCAAACTGTTCGTTTTTCTTGCTGAAATGTGTGTTAGAAATTAACCGGCCCGCTTCGGACCGTTCTTCTTGGAAAGAGCCAATTTTTTTTTCGTTTTTCCTAACAGTTCCCACTCACCATCGGAATTAGCAACATACTCAGCTTTCACACCAGGCAACGTCGGAGTCACGAGCCCTGATCGATACTTCTCTGAAAGATAGGCCTCCATTCTACGAATCTTTGCCATGTCCATCCGGAATTGAGAGATGAGGAACAATTCGTAAGCACGGTCCGACGAGATATTGTCCTCCAGGTATTCGTACATTTCTTTCACAATCTCTGGAAGTTTTTCGGCGCCATCGCGAACGGTCAAACGGAAGTGGATCCAATAATCAGCAGCCTGTTTGTAGCACGCATGGTAGGGATCTGGAATATTATATCTTTCTTTTAAGCGATTATTTGAGAAAAAAAAAACTCACCAAACTTAAACTTGTACTTTGTTTGAACATTCTTTTTTGCCAGAAAGTATTCCATATAGAATGGATGCTTGGTCACTTCTGTGTCCTCCAGCATACAATGAGTAGAATTGAAGTTTTCCAAAACTTTATCGTATCTGATGAATTGGTACTTCGCCATCAGATATTCCTCCATTCTCTGACTGCCTCTCTTGGTTTTGTGATAGTAGTAGAGTACGAGGAGATCTCGAGCCACGTACCCGTCGAACTCATCTTTCATGTAGTGGAGCATCTGGCAAAAGGTGACTTCACCCTTTCTGTGGAAGAGGAGGTAGTTGATGAAGTCATTCATTCTGATAAAGAATTCTGAAAAAAGAGAAACATTCAATGATCTTTTTTGGATAAACACACCATGAGAGTTCTGCCGGTAATTGAAGTCCGATTTCAGCTGACATTTATAGAACTGCGGGAAATATGCGTGGTCGGTTAGGTCCTTATACATCGACCATTGCACATCCCAATCCGGGTTTATCAGCAACTTCAAATAGTTCGGCAACAAAGTTTCTTCCATGGCGTCTCTGGTTTCTCTAGGAGTCCGCGAAATGCACCAGATATGCATTGCAACCCGCTCGTTCATGCAACTCTCCAGAATTTCGTACATATCCTTCAAATTAGAATCCGAATAAGCGAGGGTTCTGACTCTCGCTTTGATGAATCTCTTCGCATGCTCAATGATCTTCTCTTTTGTTGGGAATTTGCCCTCGTCGCTCGGAATTCGCAGTGTTTCTTCAAGCAGTGAATCGCCGAGGAGCGTCGAGTTGAACAGACGCGGGGCAACGGTCGGATCGTTTGGTCCGTAAGCCACGGTGTAGTTGGCGCCTGAAAGAAAAGTTGTTCTAATTTTAATATAATCAAAAATAGTGTTGAAAATCTAACGACGAACTGTCTGCGATTATATGTTTTAATAGTCCATCTTTTTCCCTCTCCCCTTTCTGTGTGTTTGTATGTCTAGATGCCAGGGCCTGCATTTCAAAATCTTCTAAACCCCATGTTTTTTTACTATTTGCTATTGTCTATTCAAAATAATCGCGCGGGTGAACGAGTAAAAAAACGTGTAGAGAGTCTCCAAACCTGAAGATTTCTCATTATACATACAAACGCTGGCTATGACTCACGTACCAGACAGGTGTCACCCTACCTCTTCTCCAAAAAAGATGCAACATCTACCAAGTTGTTTTTTTTTGCTCTCAGAATTCGAATTTATTGTCTAAATTTTCAATAAATTTTAAAACAAAAAAAAACAGAAAAAAGAGAAGAAAATAAAATGAATTCAAAACTGTTGGGTTTATCTCTGTCTACATGCCTAGTTTAACTACACACTGTAGTTGTCGAACTTGATAAAGAAAATCAGTTTGTCACCGGTTCTAGAAATTACTTCAGTCAGTTGAAAATATTTGTTTCTATAAGACAGCACATAGGTGTGATACAGATGTTAAAAATCTCAATAATTTTAAAAACTTCGGAAATACGGAGACAGAAATTTTGGCCTGAATAAAGTTTGCGGATAGAAACTGGTCCTTAGTTTTAAACCTCGAAGTAAAATATTCTTCTGTTCCCATCCGAAAATGTTTTACGTTCCTGAACCCCAACTCAAAACAAAAAAAAACTCACTATTCTCCTTTGGAACACATCCGAATTTGAAAAACTTTGAGAAGAAATTCATTTTTCGGTATAGACTTGGTAGAAGTTGCAAGTATCTGTTGGTCTGTCTGTCTGTGTCTGTTGTCCAAGACGTTGGTAGGTGTGTGTTACTGTCTGAGAGAGAGAGAGTGGGAGAGGGGGGGGGGGAGGAGAAGCGGCAAACCAGCCCCGCCCACTTTTGTATGAGGGGTAGCAGCCGTCATTTGATGGAAAAAAAGGAGAAAGCAAAAACATAGCGGAGGTGAAATAGCTGTGGTCAACAAATATGTTTTGGTAGAAGAATGGAAAAGAAAAGATGAAATTCAAATTTTCGTTGATGTGTTTTGGGGTCGGTACAAAGTTGAAAAACAGGCCAAATATTCCAAAATGGTTACAGTTATTAAAAAATGATTGAAAACACACGAAAATCCAGAATTTCAAAAACTCCAATATCTCAAAAAACACCGGTCATGGAACCTCAACACCTCACAAACCCAGATTTTGTGAACATTTCAGGAAAGGTTGAAAATAGTCTATCAAGACATCTCTAGATCCTCATGTTTTAGATTCTCATGTCTCCATTTCCTCCTCGGCCCGTCACCCCAGGTTACTTATATGCCACCACCCCAAAATCAACGACTATTTTGCCCAAACGATGCCGGTTTGGAACGCTATTGTAAAGAACTGCCACACTTTTTTGCCTCTCTCAAAATTCTTATCACTTCTTGAGATCTCGATTACCCGTTTCTGACTTGCCCTCATCCTTTTGATCTTGCCACTATGTCTCTTTTCTTTCCCCATATTAGGACTAACTCTTGCGGGTTAGTCCTTCTTAGCTTCGTTTTATCATTTTCTTTTCCCGGTTCCCATTACTCTTTATTTATCTTCAAATTTTCGAATAAACGAATATATATCTCTGAAAATTTTAGAATCCGCCCGCCAGTTTCAGCCGAGTTACATCAGTTTCAGTACCAAAAAATCGCCTTTTTTCAGAGATGTTTAGATTGGCGATTTCCAACCTGCAATTTTCATCAAAATCTGGGTTTGTGCTGTGCTGAAGTTCCCTTGCGAATTCTATGAAATGCCGAATGTGATTGTCTCAAAGATTTACTTTCAAATAAAGGGACATCGCAAAGGGACATCAAAATTTCAAAAAATTTCCGAAATTCGAATACTCGAGTTTTGACAATAAATTGTTCTGCATTTCTGATTTTTCGACAGGACTTCATTCATTCGAGCTCGGTTCGATGAGCCCAGTTTTTTCAAGAGTTTTTTCACAAGAGTTTTTAAAATACAAGCAATTTCTCCGAATCCGTTCTTTGTGAGTTTCGCAATAACTTTGTTTTTTATTGGTTAGGAAGTTTTAAAGAAACGATCGAAGGAATTACTGTGCCGGGTGTGGAAAATTTTGATAAAAACATGGCCCGGTTTGTTGCAAGTATGAAATTCATATCGAATTTTAGAAATGTCGGATTCGAGATTTTGCTCCGTATGCTTCCATATTTGTAAGGATCGATCGATTGTACTATCTTACTATCTTACTCAAAAAAATCACGAAGTAAAAGTTTCATAAATCACTTTTTGTCCGTCTCTGTAATTGTCTTATTTTGCTACGAAGTCTGGCACCAATTGTGAGTATGAGATACATATTCTTTACAGTTCGAAGTGTCAGTTTTTTTAACATTGATTATGTTAGGTCCCCCAAGATCTTCCAAGTACATTTGTTTAGCAGAAAAGCTGTCTATTTCATAATCAGTATCTGTTTCTTTGAAAAATATGCAATTTGTTTCCGAAATTAATTTTTCGAACGGTCTTCCAATAAATACCTCGTGTTGGGTCTTGTTGAATAGGAAATTTCTGCTTGGTTACGGAAATTTATTTTCATGAAACTTTAGCGATACTTTCTCTCTTTCAATATTCAGTCATTCTTAAACACTTCTCGTTTGTTCGTCCTCATACAGTACCCCAACGAGAGGGCGAATGGCCTAGTAAGAAGGAATAGGATGCATGCAGCAGAAGGGTGCTCTTTGACCTCTTGAGATATGAATGCGATTAGTCACATGTATAGTATAAAGAAAAAAGAAGTAAAGGAATTACTGACCGATTGATACAGTTATTTGGAACACGGTACTTCAGACATTAGCTCATGTCAGAAGTTTCGAAAAATAATCATCCGAAGGGCAACATTTCAGTAATGTTCGTTTTAACAATACCCACCCCATACAATATCAAACTTCTATACCCATTTTGAATTTTTCCATTGCCATGGTGTTTTCGAGTTTCTCAGAAATCGTGTCTTAAGTGTTCATATGGCTTGAAACAAAGTGGCAAGAAAATCAAAATCTGCGGGGTTTGTAAGTGGGAACCACCAATTTCATCCCCGGCAGGTACAAACCGATTATCAAATTTCGGAATTGGTATTCTGAACTTTTCAAAAACTACATTTTCGAAATTTCTGCTGATTCATACTGTCGAATTTTGAATTTATAATGTTTTTGAGCTTTTGAGCTCACCGGGTAATGGTGTAAATTGGATATGGAGTTAGGACACATGACCTATATCATAAGCTAAAGCTTAGAAAAAATTATTTTCGAATATGATTTTAGAATTTTATATGGAGCCGTAATCTCTAAGAAAATTAGGTTTAAAGCTCTGGATTCACTACTTTTTCCTCGATTTCGGTAGAAATTTAAAACGCGTGTATAGATATTTTCTATTGTTTTTGAATAGAATCATGTTTTCAGTGTCCACGCGGTCAAACATTTCCATTGTACTAGAGAAAACAGTTGTAAATCTAGAGCTTCAGACTTAATCGAACGGCTTAATAGCAAATTCTGAAATCATTTTCGGAAATAACTTTTTCTTAGTTTTCCAATGATATAGGTCATGTGTCATAACTCCGTACCAGATTTACACCATTCCCTGGTCAGGAATTTTCGGATGCTGAGTTCCTGAATTTTTGAATTACTAAAGTTTCATACACAATTTTGAACTTCAGAAAATTTAAATTTGATCTAAAAAAACTTAAAGGTGGGGGGACATGAAAAAATAATTTTCTCGAAATTCTGTTTAAATATGCCCCTCGAGGAGTTGAACTTGTGGGGGTGACGATCGAGGGTGCGGCGCCGCTACCGACTGAGCCATGCGGGCAGAGAGAAAGCGGCCGCCCGATTGCATACATAAAGGCGAGGACGACAACTGTACGCAGAGGGACATTAAGCGTTGTACACTGTCACGGTAGAATGCATACCCTAACTCCAAAAAAACTCCGAAAAATCTCCTGTCAGTTTTTGGATTTTATTATTTCAGATTATTCCGGTTTTTACAAATTTTTTGGAATTTGAGAATTTCGGAAATTCAGAAATGTTTTTCGGATGTTTGTTTTTAGAAAAATGCTTTTGTGTCGAAAAGTAATACTTGTTAAGGTTAAATATGGTGTATTGGGTTTTGTTTTACAGAAAATTGTCTTCCAAATCTGAAATTGTGTATTTCACGATATATGGAAACATCCGAAGTCTCCCTGGAGCTCCTAAAGAAACTTCTCGATAATTTTCTTTTCCTTATTGCGTCATTGTCTACCTTTCTTCCGTACATGCGCATCCTCTGTAGAGGCGTGAAACACGGCCGTCTGGCATTAGTGTATCAGGTTACCCCCAAATGTTTATAATAACTTGTCACCTGTTGTCGATTAGAGGATGAGCAGACATGCCTAAAGGTGGGAGAGGTTGACATGCAACAGATTGGTTCAGGGAGGTATTATAATATTCAAATGAGTGGGGTTGGAAAGAAAAGGAATCGACGGAAACAAAAGAAAGAAAATTAACTGTCCTTTTTTGATTGAGAAATATGTGGAACTGGAATGAGATGGGATAAACAACTGGGAGGGAAAAAAAGGATGAATTATCTTAAAATGGTTACTCTGAAAAAGAAAAAGAGAAAAGGATTGACGACTCAAAGTATTTTGATTTAGACAGATGCTCCTTTCCGAGAATACGCAATTCTGCGTCGTGGGCAATCCATCCAGGTTTTGTAACCTCCGCATTTTACGATAATAGGTTCAGTGAAGCAGCAGAACTTCGATGGATCTGAAAATGTTCCATGTTTTGAAGCTAACTCCTGAATTTCCCTCACAAGCGCATGAAAACAGAATAACTATGAAAATAAAGGTGACCGGATAGAACAAGCGAACGAGAGTTTGATGAACTAGAGCGTCTCCGTTTATGTCATACTCTAAGATGTTGACCGAAACGTTTCCACTCGTCCCTGTATCTCCGTAAATGTGCATGAGCATTCTAAAATTGAAACTTATTTGGAAACGTTTTTGGAAAAGCAACTTACGTAGTCTCCACCTCACTGCAACATGCCAATCCAATGTTTGTGAGAATGTTGAAGTAACTTGGGGATACGATGAGAACCTCGTTTTGAATCATAATCGACAATGGGGACGATAAGAGACCACACTTTTCCAAAGAGATCGTGATGTTGCCGCCCTGGGAGGTTTCGAATCGAACACTCATGTCATAACCTTTTCGTTCGGCTGAAATTAAATTAATAAAAAAAATTTTTGAAAGATCTGAAAAGACTTTTCTTATTCTTACCCAAGCGAGCCATTCCTTCGAGTTCATAAAGAACGATAGATGTACTGTTTCCTTCTATTTCGTAATCATAGCTGAGCAATCCAGGTTCATTCGAAATTCTTATCAGATCCGCTTGAGTCATAACTGTCTGTTGGTTTGGAATGGTGCGCGAGCCAGGCACAAAAGCGAATCCTTTAGGAGGGCCAAGAATAAATAGGAGAATGACTGAGAATTTCATTAGACCTGAAAAAAAAAACTGTTCAAATATTCTTTTTCGGCTAAGTCAGAGGAATGCAAGTTTTTGAAAAGAGGCAAAACACAAAACATTTGATGGTTTATGACAGTTTGAAAAGTACCGTAAAACTTGTATTAGAAAGGCCGGCCCTTCTATTGTTCCAAGGTTCCTCCGGAGGGCCCTTCAATTAGAGAGGGCTCTCATATTTCTTTGGCTAGTTTTTTATTCGAAATTTAGCATTGAAAAATTCGACAAAGTTTCGTTCAAAATTCATGAAAATTTGCCAATTTCACCAAAATTTAGCAAGATTTTCATCGAAAAATGCAGTTTCATCAAATTTCTATTAAATTATGGAGTCCCCGGAATATTTTGCACTGAAAAAGTACGGAAATTTTCTGATTTCAAAACACTTTTGAACGAAGGTTCTTTTTCATAGAGGTCACTTCTATTACGGAGGCCCTTCTGTTACAGGGGGCTCTGTTGACAAGCCCATGTGACCATGAACAGGTTTGCCAACCTGAAGGTATTCTAAGGATCTCTCAGGCTCAGACCACTGCGCTTGATCCTCAGAAACCTCTTTTATTATAACATTATTCCCAGTATTTACCCTTGTTTTCTATTTTTGTTACATAAATCCATATTCAAATTTCCTCGCTTTTAGTAAGCGCGCCCCACCGCTTGGGTCTCGCCGCGACGGGACCGGACACACACTCTCCCACGCAGACACTTCAGTCGTCTTTTCTGCTGGTTTAGAATGCCAGTTGTTACGATTGTCCTCTGAGAAGTGTGTTGTGTGTTTATCGACTTCACGACTCAAAGGACCGTTACTTCTCTTCGGCTTTAATTACCTTTTTTGCCCTTTTTGTCTCTGACAATAAACTAGTCACTGATACTTATGCTTTATCGTCTTCACACTGCTCATCTGTCCGCTCCATTCACTGCGCTACAGATATTCTAGGTTTCCTTGATTCTCGTACTTTTTGTCCGCTTATACCGCTTTTCCTATCTAACTCGAGTAGCTTTATTCTTTTGGAGTGATCAGGGGGAATCCAACACTCCCCTTATGTGACTTCTCTGCAGGCTCTTCTATTTTTCCGAGTCTCTCTCGGAAGGCTCTTCTACTAAAGGGGCCCTTCTAATACAGGCTAGTATTCATATCGTATTTAAACGTCTAAGTTTCCATTTCTAATGAAAGTTTTCCCGAATTCAAAAAATTGTATTTTAAAACAAGATAAACATTTTGAATTGCAAGTTTGAGCTAATTTTTCTTAGCTGCCGTTCAAGATATCAAAAACAAAAGGACACATTACCGTCAAATTTGAAGCAATTTATCTCGGTTCTCGTGAAAGATTCTGATATTATGAAACGATTCTGATGTTATGGTAAACAGTTAATCAATTGATAAATTTTCTATATCTTTCACAAAAACCGAGATAAATTATCTCAAAGTTAAATGTTAGGAAATCTTATTCAAATTCCCGCGAACAAACAGCAAGTGCGCTCTGTCGTATTCACCTTTCCTCACACTTGCCTGCCTATTCAGAAACGAGTATTTGTCATTTTGAGTCGGCAAGAAAGAGTCATAAAATAATAGAGCCACTTCACTAAAACACTATTTAAAAAAATACTTTTTTCGAAATTGGAGTCAAATGGCAGAAATTAATATATTATTAAGAAATGTGAAATTCGATGGAAATCAGTCTGAAAAATGAAAGAAAAAATGACTGAAGTCTGTCGGTGTTTATTGAAACCTATTTTGTTTGAAACAAAGGTGAGAAACTTTTCAAAGAATGGGAGGAGCTTTGATAGACTAGAATGGAAGGGCGGGCATCTGAAAAAATGTAATCACGAGAAAAGAGAAAAATGGGCGGAGAGAAACTGATTAGACATCAAAATTCAGCAGAGAGCAATAACACTAGTGCTCATGTATATCATCATTAAAAACTACAATCTCCTAGTGTTTTTATGTTTTAAAATGTAAGTATGAATACATTTTCTGATCAAAGAAAAAATCTAAATTGTATTTTTTAATCTTGATGAGTTCCGGAAGTTTTGTCGGCATAAAAAATTAAAGGAAAACGAACATTATTGAACTCTTCTGATTCGGCGGAACAGGATTCAGGAGATCGGAAAACAAGGATTATGCGAAAAGGAATGGCCTTTTCGGAATTTTTCGAAATGTCGAAATTTTCGATTTTCAAAACTTCGGAATCTCGGAATATTCCGGTTTTAAAATTTTCGGAATTTCAGAATTTTTGGAATTTTTCAAAATTCTAATTTTAAAGCAGAAATTTATTTTCCCATCACAAAAACGCCAAAATTTACAGAAAGATTTCAGCAGCACAAAAAAATCAAAATTAATTCCGTTCGAGACCCGCAAGCTAACTTTGTTTTGACATACCGTAGTCCAAAAACTTCTAATTACAAAAAGAATGTTTCGCAATCATTTCTCCCGGAATTTCATTCCAGAACCGGTCGTAACTTTCAGAGTTTTCAGAATTCCGAATTCCGTTCCAAACACCCCTGGAAAAATATTTAAAGCCAGAAATGAATAGATTTTTTCTTCAAAATCATATAATATATTTGAACAAAAATAAAGATAGTAAAAATTCTGCTATAAATTTTTTAAAAAATTGTTTTGTGTCAAAAAGTTGGAAGATTTTGCAAAAAAACAAGAATATTCAGATTTCCGATTTTCTTGTCGGGCTGATGAATTGCTCTCAAATTCTGAGTCAAATCTGAGTTGACAGCAAGAATCTCGTTTTTTCTACGTTCTTTTTTTTGCCGTATAGCAAATTGCTTTCCCTGATTACTTTTCTGCCAAAAAGAGTTTTATGTGTGTTATGGGTTTTCGGGAAAGTATTTCGTTTTAGGTGCATAAGGTATTTGGATCGCCTTCAACAAGCTCAGAAAAAAAAGAAACGAAAAGAATTAGTCAAAAAACTTAAAATTTCAAAAGTTAAAAAATTTTCGTTACAAATGCAAATAAAATTTTCGTTAACAAATTCAAATAAAATTTTCGTTAACAAATGCAAATATTTTGCCACACTTTATCAATTAAAAAATTATTTAAAGTTAAATTAATCCAAAAACGTGCAAAGATTCAATTTAAAAATCTGAGCAACATATAGTTTCAAAAGAAATTTCTTACCACAAGATATCACTAAAATCCTTATCAAGTGTTGTTTCGGCTATCGTCAACTTTGAATTGCTCTAAATCAAACTGTGATGATTTTCAATTATTGAATACATTTTAGTATCGTGGAATCAGAGAGAACAAAACACTCCAGAATTTTAACGATGTTGTGTTTTTATATGTATTCTTTATTATTGGAAGCAGAAACAGAAAAACCTTTGTTTCTGATATTTTCAGACACAAATTTGAGAAGCCTGAAAAATATTGTCACAAAAATTTGAGGTTTATAAATTTTATGGTTTTCTTTAAAATTCAATACCATTTATCTTTGCCTTAATCCTTTCAAACTCCCAAAATTTTTTACAATTTTCCGCTTCAAATAACTGCCGCTTTCCAAAAAGAAAATTGCTGCTCATAATTTTTCTGAATAAAAAATTGTAAACGCCCCGATTATGGTAATAAAAATATGAAATCCAAATAATAAATAATTAGTGGTACAGAGGCTATGAACGAAAATCCATCGGATACGATAGTGCAGAAAAACATTTATATTTTCGGAAAATTAATTTTTTAAAATTTCTTTTATTGGAAAAGATACAATTACAAAAATGTAACAAAGGTTGATGTGTTGATATCTCTGAGTATGAATTTGCAAAATATTAAATTGTTGTTACAGCTGATCGGTTAAACGCTTCTCTTTATTGATACAGTTGTTTTATCTTTCCTGACTTTGTCGACTTTTGACCTGACTTTGTCGACTTTCCTGACTTTGTCGACTTTTTTCAACTTTTGCTGAATAACTCTCCCTACATACACAAAATATTTTTGAGAACAAAATCCGCGCTTTTCAGTATAACATCACTCCGCCAGATAATGATGATGCAGAAATTGTCATCTGTTTGTTAAACCCAAAGGTAAATTATGTTTCGGGCCACTTGAGTGTCACTGTGGACTTGTTTATTGTCTACCATATAGGAGCAAATAAAAGTTTTCAGTATTAATCTCAGTGACGTGATAAACAATGAAACATTTCAAGACGAGTTTTTCAGTAAACTATTAATCTGATTGAATTTTTGATATCGAAGGTTTTGAAAAATTATCGAAGGTTTTGAAAAATTATGACAGCAGCTTTCAATTTTGTTTCATTCCTACAAAAATCCAATCATTTACCCTCTAATCCTAGATGCTTTCCAATGTAAAGAAAAAATTCGAATTTTTCAATTTTCAATTCAATCATATTTTTTCTAGGTTCATCACCTTTCTCACTTAGTCCACAAGCCCCCGAACCTCACCGTAGAACTGAATACGCTTTTTCTTTGTTTCGGCCACGCCCATTTTCCCGTTGGGGGTTTTCTTTCTGGACTCATTTAGTTTTGGTTGGTATTTTTCATTCATTCTTTTTCTATAAAATTTAGAATTCGTTCCAGATATCCGGAAAAACATTATGGATTTTGATTTCTCTCATCAGAATATATCGTCAGACCTGGAATAGAAAGGCGCCTACATTGTCAAGTTTGAGCTCAATTATCTCAATTCTTCTGTGAGATATCAAACATTTTCTACTGATACAACAATTATAATATTACGATAACTGATTTAGTCGTTGCAATTTTTCCGATATCTTTTGAAAAAAAAATCCGATAATTTGGCTTAAAGTTGACGGTTTGGGAAGGCTTCTTTTAATGAGAATACGGTATGCATATCATTCTATTGAAATAATTTCAGGAGAATGAAATTATTCATTTTTCTCATCCTTGTTTCCTCCCCAATCAACAATGTTGCGTACATTGTCGGATCTCTTACTCTGCCAAAAATTTCTCCATCTTCGGCCGAGCGTTCTCAATACGGGAGCAACGCGGGGCTGCTCGCATACCGTTTTAATATCGGATTCAACTGTACAGAAGCATTCATTGCAATGAATGAACTCGAAGCGATGGCTATTTCAGGTAGGCTTTCGGTAGACAAAAAGAAACTATTCAAAACATGCAGTTTCTTTACCTCAACTTTGACTTCCATTATCTCAATTTCTGCGAACAATTTGCAAAAACGATCAATTGAAGAAACATCTCTGATACCGTGGAAAACATTTTAACAGTTGACAAATTTTTGATGTATCTCATAGGAACCGAGATAATCGAGTCTAAACTACAGTATAGGCATTTGATCGATTAAAGGTAGTTCTTAAAATGATAAAACTTCAGCTGAAAAGACCGGATCCGATTTGAGTGTCCGTATCGAGATGGATCAAGTGAAAAACATAAGCATGGCCCTGAGCAAGTGTGGATTGCGCTCAACCACATCATCAACCATCAAGCAGAATGAAGCGATCGTTGTTTCACCAAAGTACTTCACAATTGTATCCAACCTCGGATCAATAGGATGTGAAAAATACGATGAACCGTGAGTTTGGCAATGGGATATTAATTTTATCGATTTGATTCCAACAGGCTCTTGATGCGGATCCAAGGAGAATCGAACACAACCGGAACTGTCTCTATATACATGGTCGCATCACCAAAAGACGAAAAACTTGTATTCAACGAGTTTGTCATCTACGCTTTTTATCCAGTCATTCTCTCGATTTCCATTTTCATTGCCGGATGCAGCTGTGAATTATTAAAGCCGTTCATTTTGTGATAATTATATTCCAGGCCCTTTGATCACTTTCTGGATGATTGAGAAAATCATTGTGATCTACAACGACTACGTTAACTGTTTTGGATACACTCGCATCAGGACTGTCTACAAGTTTCGTGGAGTTCCTGTTTGAATTGGTTCCCTCTTTACTTTTTTTCTTCAGAGAAATTTTTAAAAAAATATTTCCCTTATTCTAATTCATCGCCATTTACAACTCTCCTCAAACAATTCCTGCACTATTGATGTTCCAGTTGTTTTTTGATTTTGGTTTTTTTTTGTCTTTTTCAACTATCGTGAGAAGTGTGAAGAAGGTATCTTGTTGAATAAAAAATAACAACTGTTAATAATTATTTAGTTGAATAGGATAATTCTAAAACAAATGATAACATATTATGGGGTTCTGGAATTTTCTACAAATTTCTGGATTTTTCTAGAACTTTTCTAGAATGATCTGGAACTTTCTAGAATGTTCTGGAATTATCTAGAATGTTCTGGAACTTTTTGGAATTTTCTGGAAGTTTTGGAATTTTCCAGAATGTACTGGAATTTTCTAGAATGTTCTGAAAATTTTTAGAATTTTCTGGAATGTTCTAGAATTTTGCGCATAACTTAAGAACCTTGTAATCTGTAGAAAATTACTATGACCCATTTCCAGCAGTCCACAGGATCGAAATTTAAGTGATACACGAAAAAAAAAGAATTAAAAAAAAATTAAATTTTGAAGATTTGTGCTCAATTTTATGTAGGCAACACATAGATAGACAAAAAAAACGCTTTGCAAAATTTCATGAAGTTTTATTGAGTTTGAGCATAACTTTGAAAATTTCGATTCTTAACCCTATAGGT